TTTGTTTTCCCGAGACACTGTCCATGCGAGTCTTTTATTGCAGTTCCAAATTGCCCCACTCTGGTGAAGTGTTGTCTCTCAGGGTTTGTTCCAGGTATGAAGAAATAGACCTTGAAACAGGAATCCTGGAAACCAAAAGAGATCCTGCTCCTTCCGATGATATTTATCCTGTCCACATGGTTTTGGATAATAAAGACGGCATACAAGGGTCCTGCCAGTATTTTAAAGAGCGAGTAGATATCACGGATCAGATAAGGACGAAGGAGTTGCAGCCTCGTTACACTTACACAGAAGCTGTTGAAGAGTGAGTGAAAGCCTTATACCTGGCACTAGAAGATTTTTAACTTAAGTTTTAAAAAGTAGTCCCTCGCTCACTTTTGTGCAGATTGTATCAAGAATGGTGACTGTGGGCAGAAGGGACTGACCTCTCTATTTTTCTGGCACTAACACTACTGTATTACTTTCCCTTCCGTGTCTCAGGTGGGGAGAGAAGCTGGTCATTGTCGCCTCCCAAGACCAGCGTTACAGAGCTTTAATAGGCTGGGAGGGCGACCCCGACCTAAAACTCCCTGACTTCTCCTACTGTATATTGGAGCGTTTAGGCCGCGCAAGGTGGCAAGGAGAGCTTCAGAGGGACCTGCACAGTGGGGCGTTCAAGTAAGTTTATACCTTGCAGTACGAATTAGATCAAAGCTAGTGAGTTTCTACTGGTTGCTGTGAACTGGTTTAAACTTCTGTCTGTACTGGTAGTGTCTCACGCTTAACCGCAGGAGCACTTGCTTCTTGGAGCGTGTACTGCGAGAAGCATACCGGTGTCTTCCTTGAGATATGATACTTCCAGATATTTTCCCATGGAATCAGAGACTGTCTGTTGGGTCAATAAATAAGTTTCTAATTTGTAGAAGTTCTGGATTTCTCCAAATCGCTTCCTCTTCAGATTTGGGTTTGGGCAATGTTTCTTCTTTTCTAAGCTGCAGGATAAGCATCTTATCCTGCCCAGGTTCTGAGGAGGTTCTTGGATGCCCAATATTGTCCCCAGC